CCCCCCCCCCCCCAAATACAAACCTCTGGAACATGAAACAAGCCTTTCAATTAATCTCTCAGAAAGGTGCTGCTGATTTCTTTGGAAGGGAAATGATACAGCACTGATCGTTCCAACATTTTGAATTATGTTAAATTGATCAGAATGAAGGAGCCAAATTATGCTTTAATCTGTATAATATAGCCAAAATATCCAAATATTTAATATAACTGATAATTAAACACACATAAATGTGGATAGAAACCTAGAAGCCCATCTGCAAACCATCAGATGAAACTGAAAACTTCATGAAAGAACAAAAAACACAATTGAATATAACCAAAAACATAATCAGAACTAGGAAAAAGGTAAACAGAAACTAAAGGTCACTTACTTCAGATTTAGAGGACATATTTTCCTCCATGTCAGAATCATTGGGATCCACAATATCATCAAATGGTGGTAAAGTAGGCTTTTTTTTCTCAAGTGTCTCACTTTCCATTTTGACTTTCCCCATTTTAGGCTGAGATTTATCCTTTGTTTGCTTTTTGTCAGAAGAACAAGTAAGTATCAGCGGAGGAGCACTAGAAAAACTTTTAAATAAAGACTCTGAGCTATTTTTTTTCCTTTTTTTGGCAGAAAGTTCCTCAGAATCTGTAACAGTCAGCCTTTTTGTTGGGGCCTTCTTTTCTTGCTGCTGTCCACCTGTTATAGTAAGGATGTTGTTCTCAGATTTTGGCTCCTTAGACATGGTTTTGGGTTCCTTGAAAGCCATCTTAGGAACTGTTTTTTCATCTTTTAGTGGTTTGTTTTCTTTGGGTTTCTTAGAGGATTCTTTGGAAGATTTGTTGTGTTCCCTGGAAGGTTCTTTGAAGGCACTTTTATGGTCTTTTGAGTCCTTAGAAGGTTTTTCTTTGTGCTCCTTTGTTAATTTGTGGGGCTTTGAAAAACTGTTATTACTGCTGCTGCCACTACTGCTGCTTGTGTTTATACTCTTACTTGGGTCCTGCAACAAGTATAAGCACAAAAAAAATTTAGAAACAAAGAAAAAAGGATCAAACAGGATCTACATCAAGAATCTAGACTGTAGATCCTAATCACTCAAAGAATGCATACCTAGGCAAGAATATTACTTCCAGGTTTACTTAAAAGTAGCATCCTTTCCATTTAAAATAAATTGTCTATACATTT